TCTGACCACCCTAAGACCACTCTGCTGTGACAAAACCCAAGCAGCCACCTGGAGAGAGAATGGCCAGCGGAGGAATCCTGAGGCACAGACATGTGACTGAAGTTTTCCTGGACCTTCCAGCCCAGCTGGGCCCAATGCCAGCTGATTGCTGCCAAGTGGGTGACTCAAGTCGACACCAAATGGAGCAGAAGAACTGCCAAGCCAAGCCCTGCCCAAGTTCCTGACCCAAAGAATGACAGAAAATAACACGTTGAGACTTCAGGTCAGGATGGCGGCGTAGGTAAACGCGGTACTCGTCTCCTCCCACAACCACATCAAAATTATAACTAAACTACAGAACAACCATCATTCAGAACTGCATGAAATCGAGCTGAATGAAAGTCCTACAACTATGAAATTAAGAAGACACATGGAGACTGGTAGGAGGGGCAGAGGGCGGACAGGCTGGTCTCACACCCACTGTGGCAGATAAAGATCAGGAAGGATACCTTGGCTGGGAAGGTCCTCCCTGAGGAGTGAGGGGTCCCTGTCCCACAACAGGACCCCCAGCTGAGGGATCCAGTGCCAGGAAGAGATGTCCCCATAATTTCTGGCTGTAAAAGCCACGGAAATTGAGGCTGGGGGACTCTGAAGATTCTGGAGCCCCAGGCAGCTCCTCTTAAAGGGCCCACACCCTTCAGACCCCAGCATGGGGGAGGCAGCTTGAAAGACACCAGAGACATGAGGAAGAACTCCGTTGTTTGGCATTGGGGCAAGAGCTGTAGGGCAGCTTTCTCCCAGACAGATATGCTGGCGGAGGCCGTTGTTCCTTTGGTGAGCTCTTCCCCTACAGGGCAGGCAGACAGGCACCATATCTGGGACTCCAGCAACCTGGCTCACACTGTTTGCCCCGCCCTGGTGATTCCCTGAGGCCCTGCCCCACCCAACTTCCAGGCCCACCCAAGCTGTTTCCAGTGGCTTTACCATAGGAATACCCTGTCTTGGCTCCTGTTTTAGATTTTCCTAAATTTTCTCAAACAAGCAGCATCTGGCCTCAGCAAGCCCCATACCTCTCACTAAGTGGCCCCAGGCCTGGTACTAGAAGCAGCCAGCCTTGGTTCACAACTTGGCTTTGCCTGGGCACCTCCAAGCCCAGCACAAGAAGCAGCCATCTGTAGATCTCTTTGTAGCTTATGTCTGTTTGGTGGCCCCTGGTAGAACACAGGCAGTGGCTGACCTTGCCCCAGAGCCAGAACACCCAGTGGACAGCTTCAGACCATGTCGAAACACCACTACCAACCACCTCCACAAGTGACACACTCAAGGAGTGGACTCAGTGGGTACCAGAGCCCTGATGAAGTAAGTATTGCTCTGTGTGGTGGGCCTCTGAACAGCTGATCCCCCAAGGTAGTCAGTTGTCAGTGGCCACACCCAGTCCTTGCAGCTGATCTGCCCAGGTAAATCCCTCCCATTGACATGCCAACAGCAATCCAGACTCAATTACAACAGAATGGTGTACAGTCCACATGAGGGGGTGCACCTGAGGGCACAGCTGGGGTGATTAGGAAGGCTGTACCACTAGACCCTACAGGACACCTACTACCATAGGCCACCCAAGGAAGCTTAGGAGACATAGCAACTCTACCTAATACATAGAAACAAACACAGGGAGGCAGCCAAAATGAGGAGACAAAGAAACATGTCTCAAATGAAAAAACAGAACAAGACTCCTGGAAAAGAACTAAACAAAATGGAGATAAGCAATCAATCAGATGCAGAGTTCAAACCACAGGTTATAAGGATGCTTGATGAACTTAGTGAGGGCCTCCAGAGCATAAAAAAGGATCAGTCAGAAATTAAGGAGGCACTAAATAAAATAAAGAATAATTTACAGTAGAGTAGGTAAAGCCAAGAAGTAAACCATTAATTTGGAATATAAGAAAGTAAAAACACCCAATCAGAACAGCAAGAAGAAAAAAGAATCCAAAAAAATGAGGGCAGCGTAAGGAGATTCTGGGACAACTTCAAGCATACTAACATTCACATCATGAGGGTGCCAGAAGGAGAAAAAAGAGAGCAAGAAATTGAAAACCTATTTAAAAAAACATGACAGAAAACTTCCCTAACTTGATGAAGGAAACAGACATACAAGTCCAGGAAGCACAGAGTCCCAAACAAAATGAATCCCAAGAGGCCCACACCAAGACACATCATCATCAAAATGCAAAAGGTTCAGACAAAGTGATAATCTTTTTTTTTTTTTTCCTTTTTTTTTTTATCCTCACCCGAGGAAATTTTTCCATTCTTTTGTTCAGATAGAGTGGGAGGGAGAGAGAGGAAGAGAGAGAGAGAGAAACATCAACGTGAAAGGGACACATCGAGTGGCTGCCACCCGCACGACCAACCAGGGCCTGGAACAAACTGCAACCGAGGTACGTGCCCTTAGCCGGAACCGAACCCGGGTCTCCCTGTACCGCAGGCCGACTCTCTAACCACTGAACCAAACCGGCCAGGGCCAAAGTGATAATCTTAAAAGCAGTAAGAGAAAAGCAGTTAGTTACCTACAAGAGAGCTCCCATAAGTGTGTCAGCTGATTTCATAAAACAAACTTTGCAGGCCAGAAGAGAGTGGAAAGAAATATTCACAGTGATGAAAAACAAGAACCTACAACCAAGATTACTCTATCCTGCAAAGCTATAATTTAGAATCCATGGTCATATAAAGAGTTTCCCAGACAATAAAAAGCTAAAGGAGTTCATCACCACTAAACCAGTATTATATGAAATGTTAAAGGGTCTTCTTGAAGAAAAAGATAAAAATATGAACAATAAAATGGCAATAAATACATAAGTCTACTAACAAAATAAACAAGCAGAACAGAAACAGACTCACTGATACAGAGAATTTTTTGTTGGTTCAAAGATGGGAGGGAGATTGGGGGGATGGATGAAAAAAATGAAGGGATCAAGAAGTACAAATTGGTTGTTAGACTGACAAACCTCAAAAGAAGGGGGGTGGTTGGGAAGAGATAAACCAAAGAACTTATATGCACATATGCATAACCAAGGGACACAGACAATAGTGTGGGGAAGACAGGAGGGGGGCGGGAGCTGGGAGGAGGGGGTCAATTGGGGAAAAAGGAGGGACATCTGTAATACAGTCAACAATACAGATAAGTTAAAGAATATAACACGTCTTTGTTGTTTTAAGCCACCAAGATTTGGGGTAGGTTGTTATATGGCAATAAATAACAGGTTCATTCACACCAGCTCCTCACCAGGCATGCCCTCCATCCTCCTGCTTTCCTGAACCCTATTGATCCCTCAGTTAACCCTAGTAACACCTCCTTCCAGAAGTTCCTTTTATCACTCTACCTCACTCCTCACCCCACCAGCCTCTGAACTCTCAACTTACTCAACCTTGAATGCTCAGCTCAGGCCCTCTATCCTCTGAGAAGCCCTTTTCGACTTCCACAGAAGTTGTGGGTGCTACTCCATACACCCAGGGCACCCATGAACACCCACTCCCTTGACCATCTCTGTCTGCTTGCTTCCTCTCAGACTGTCACTGTCACATACATAGTCATCCGCATACTCCACACACATAGCTCATTGCCTACTCACAAAAAGGTTCAATAAGATCCTGTGAACTAAAAGAATAACCCCGACACTATTCACTGGCCCTTTCTTTACGGTCTCATTCATTCTCTCTGCAGACCTGTGTGTCTTCGCCACTGTGACTGAAAATGCCTCGAAGGTGAAGATTGTGCTGCTTATCTACATGGCTCACAGAGCCTTGCACATAGTAGGTGCTCAATAAATATTCGGTTGACTTTTCACTAGTTGATATGTGACTTTTACCGGGATCTAACTCCTGATTCACCCATGGGCTCCTGATACTCAGGTCACAGACTTCCTAGCCCTGGATGCTATACAAGGATGGATAAAGCTCTGCTTAGTTATTTTGGGCTCTTTGAAATTCCCCAAAGTCCATGCATTCTACATTTACAACATTGAGTTCATCGAAAAAGGACAATCTTTTAGAAGCCACAGCTCTAACTCCTGCTTTAACAGACAAATGTGAAAGAGTCCACACAGCTTTCCACACTGCCTGGGAGTTGCAAATCAACTGGAAATATCTGGTTCAATCTGTTATTATAAAGCACTGTCCAGACAGCACTGTCACCATGAGAGACAATCATTCTATGAACACACACAGTCTTGTGACTGTTACTCAACATTCCAGAGATACAGGAGCTTCGTGGGCCTGGGGAGGAGAGAGAGGGTTATAAATAGTGTCGTGTGGTGGGCCCAACACTGGGGCAGAGCCCATATCTCTGCTCCTGGTTGACGTGGGTAACTCCTTATCTACAAACCCCTTATCTCTGACTACCTCTGACCCTCCCCACGCCTCCTGAGGACCTGGCCCTGGCTCTCCTCAGTCAGGCCAGGGCTCATCTACCTCTCATGCTCCAGTCTCCCCCTCCTCAGGTTTTATGTCTCAGCTGGGGTCTGATCACAAAATCCTATAGGCTCACACTAGACTGTGAAACAACAGCTCAATGAGTAAAAGCCTTTGTCACCTGTAGCTGAGCAAAATAGAAAAGGTGATAAAGGCCCAAAGAGAAGGAGAGGAAAAAAGAAAACAAAAAGAGGACAGGTCAGGAATTAGGGGGTCCTTCTGTACCTAAACAAGTTTTTATGGACCCAAAAAGTCGATGTTCAACTCTGGGAGACACACAGAAAATGTGTGCTGGATGGGAAGACAATAGTTCTTGCACACAGCCCACACACGTGCTTGAATGCTACAGTGATATCAAATTATTTTAAAAGTTTCTAATTACTTATTCTCAATGTTGTTATTTATATCACTGCAACCCAGCACCAAGCAATTCAAACTGGCACCAGTATATGAAACACACTTTGAGTAGCATGATGTAATTAATTCCACAAACTGTCCAAAATCTACCACAATACATGTTGGAAACACATACAAGAATGACATTGTAAAGATCAACTTACTTGCTGATGGCTGAAATTTGATCAGATCTTGCAAGTCAGTAGAGATCTGGAAAACATGGCTATAGAACTGCTGCACAGAATTCTTCAGGCCAGAAATGTCTCTGGAATGTGACCGGAGCGTCCCGTTTATCTGCCTGACACAACTCCACAGGCTGCTGACGTGCTTGTTGAGCCCTTCCTTGATCCTGTGAAGACTTCCTGAGATGGAGTCCAGTTTGCTGCAAGTTTTCTCCATCTGAGACACCCTGTCCTCAACCACGGAGACCTCCCTCTGGACCCCATGCGTATTCTCCTTACAAGTGTCCAGCTCCGAGAGAACCTGGCTCTGCAGCCCCTGCCACTTCTCCTCCAGCTGGCTGCAGCAAGGAGCCACAGTGTCCTGGGGAGACGGGCGGGGTTCCACCGTCCTTTCTTGCTCACCCACTTTAGAAAACCCACCCACTCCAGTGTTTTTACCTTCTCTACACTTGCTTAGCTCATTCTGGAGATGATTCATACCATCTTCTGTGTGGTTTAGTTGAGAATAAAGAAAACTAAAATCTTCTTGAAGTTTCTGTATGCTACGTTCAGTTTCTTGAAATTTCCTATACATTGTGTCATTTAGGGATTTCAAAAGGCTCAAACTATCACCCACTGTGTGGTCGTCTCCATTTGGCAAAATATCTTCTATCCCAAGAAGTTCTCCCTGGAAGTTCTGCAGGCAAATATCCTCAACAACTTGAACTTTGTTCTTCAGGTGGTTTAATTCCATCATGACCTGTTCAGGCCCAGCCCCTGACACACCTGGTAGGGCTGATGCTGGGGCAGTGAGTTCTGCATCAGTACTGTTGTTCATCTCTAGGAGAACGCTCCCCAGACGCTCTTCCAGAGACTGTATTTTCTGATCAAGAAGTTGCTTCAAGTCATCTACCTCTCCATTAATGGTTCCCCGAAGGGTTTCTTCAATGTAAAAACAATGTTCTTCCGCATTCTTCTCTGTCACATTGATCCTTGCATCTAGTTCATTCCATCTTGCATCAAAGTCCACATCTGGCTCTGGAACTACAAGTCGGTCAAACTCATTGTCCATTCGCCCATTTAGGATTCTGGTGGCTTCAGCAACTCTTTCAATTTTCTGGTCTAACGCCTTGATCTGTTGCCCAAAGTCACCAGTCTTTTCACCACCACAGCAATTTGACTGGGCTGAAGGATCTTGTAGACGGGCTCGAAGGTCATTTATTTCTTTTTTCAGGTTTGTTTCCTTCTCTCCTATAAGCTCGATCACTCCCAGGTAGCTGCTCCCATAGTCATCACACTGCTGTTGGAGACCAACCAGCTTGTACTCACATGAGTTCTTCAGATCAGCCAGTTTCCTGTCCATTCCCTCCATGAGCTCCTCTCTCAGGGCATCAATCTTACTATCGACATAGGTTTGGTAGAGTTCGTTGGTTGTCATGGTCACCGTAGGGCCCTGGGCAGCCTCCTGGAGCTGTTTAAGCTGCCCTTCATAACCCTTCACTTTTCCATCCAGTTCTTCCAGCTTGTCACTCTTGGTCTTCAGAGCATCCTTGACTTCAGCCAATTCGGATTTGATGTCCTTCATGCCAGATTCCTTTTTGTTGAGGGCATCAGGAACCTGGACTATTTCAGTGTCTCCACCAACAGCAATGTCAGGCACTTGCTGGGGGTGCAGGTTACTATGCCATGATGCATCCTGACTAGTATGTTTGAGGTTTTCATTCACCCCAGCAATGGAAGACTGGAGATCAAGAACGGTCCTTGTGAGCCGGAGAACCTTCTCCTCAAGCACCTGGATTTTCTTATCCTGAGGTTCTTGGGGCCCCTGTTTTGAATCTATTGTCCGACTTGGTTCTGCTGCACGAGTTGGTGACAAAGTCTTCTTGGGCTCTGAGACTTGGCTTGGTTCATTGTCTGTTACAGAGAAAGAGTTGGATATAGCTTAATATTTTCTACTTTTACCTTGTTTCTACAAAAACAGTAACAGGGTACTTACAGGAGACACTTAAACCTTCACTTCCAGATCCACTCTCACAGCAGGTAATTATTGTGGTAGAGTAAAAAAGACTATGGGCTTTGGGTCAAACAGATCTCCACTTGCATTCTGCCTCTGTAGTTTACTGTCTGCCCTTGAGCAAGCTAATTAAATTCTGTGAACTATAATCCCCTCATCTATGGAGCAGAGCTATGATTTTCCCTCCTAGGGTTGTTAAGAGAATATGTACATAGTACATAATACTCAATGGTCTCTTTCACCCTAAAGGGAAATACTCTTCATCATACAAAAATATCATCTCGCACATTAGTGAACCGCAGCCACACCCCAGTGGTTGACAGCATACTGTAAAACCACAAGAAGCCACTTTAGCAAGATCCACCCATTAGCTATTGGGTGGTATGATATCATTCTAGCAGCAAGTTGCCCTCTACATAACTCCTAAATATTCTCTTACTTTTATTAGCTCCCTATGCTAAGTCTCAGAGACATTGTTTAGCGCTGTTATGCAAAACAACTGATTCTATTGGCATCTCCTAACAATGGAGCCATATGGCCATCTATAGGAAGGTTCACTAAATCAAAGAATACAAACACTGAATTTTTGATAATCCTACTTTGAGAACTATAACCCCAAGAAAACAGTCCAAGAGAAAGAAAAAATATTATAAAGATGATTGTGATGACTCATAAAGTAAAAATAAACTGATAGGTATAGAGAAAGGTAAATTAAACAAAGAGGAAATTATCAAAACCTGAGGCATTAGAATAAGAAGCAACCTATGCCCTTGAATGCACAGTAGGATGCAAGAAATATTAGAAAGGGGTTAACATCTACAAGCCTACATATCAAGTGAAAAGAGTCAAATGCAAAATAGATTATAATGAAATAAAATGCATTAATGTACGTTGACAAACAATAGAAACAAATTTAGAATGTTTCAGATATTTGAGTTTAATGTTCATTGTTTTTACCTCCTCTAAACTTTTGCACACAATTATAATAACTATTGTTTATTAAAATTAATTTACTGGTAAAACCAAGGTTGGAGTCCAGATGGCTAAACTCCCAAGTGGAGAACTGTAAAGAACACCTTATCTTCCATGCTAAAAATTTTACTTTATCTCAAGACACTAAAAGAAGAAAAGTTATTGAATTACATACAAATGAAATACTATTCTGAGCGAAGGAAATAGAAACAAAGGGCAGGATGAGTGGGGGGAATCTGGATGTAGGAAATGCTTCTTTTATATTCTGTTGGTGACAGTGGGAATTGCTACCACTCTTTGGAAGGCCAATTTGACAGTAGGTGTCAGAATATTCAGACTCCTTTGACCCTGTAATTTACACTTCTAGACATGTATTCTAGTAATCAGGGATGAATCCAAAAATTTACCAGGAAAAAATGCTTTTTCAAATATTATCTATAATAATAACTTGCAAACAACCTAAGTGACCATCAATAGGGGATTGTGTTCAAATAATCACATTCTCTAAAGCCATTACATGATACTGTAAAACACTGAATGACATAGAAGGTTGTTCATTATAAGTTAAAAAATAAGTTCCAAAAATTAAAAAAAAATTATGTTGTTTACAATGATAGTGGATTGAAGATAAACATTTCCCTTCATTCTCTTTTGAAATCCCACTAAAATAAGCACATACATACACACAAAACAAAAACAACTAAGTCACAGATAAAAAAAATAGGAACCAGAATACTTTTGGACTTTTTAACAGCTGCATGGGAAGCTAGAAGAAAAATTGAACAATGCTTTCAAATCTAAAGGACAATTATTTCCAACCTAGAATTCTGAAACTAGAGTAAAAATATTTTTAGGCTATAAAATATCAAAAAGTTTGTCTTTCATGCAGTCTTCTCATGAAACCACCAGAAGATGTGCTCTCCCACAGCAAGGGAATAGACTGAGAAAGAGCCAGCACAGGAAACATGGAGTCAACAGGAGAGAGGCCAGTTAAGTCGCAGGGCAGCAGCTGTGAACAGGAAAAGAGGATGGACAGGCCAGGTGGGCAGGCAAGAGGCTCTAGGGGATTTCTTAAGGAAATGAAAGATACATACTGAATTTAATGAGAGGGCATTTAGATAACCAGAGGAGAGTTTGGGTTGAAATGGGGATTAAAAACTTAGCAAATTAAGCAAAGAAAAATACAAGACCATTATTAACTCTACAGAAATCAAAAGTCTGTGTTGGAAATGCAAGATTCATAGCACACTGCAGCTGTAAACATTCTGCACATAGTTACTACAAAGTGAACGATAAACAATGAATAAATAAAAACGTGGTGTAACTCTATGGGAAAGATGGAGGTACAGGAGCAGTGTGTTGGCCAGTAGATGAAAGGAAGTCAAACCCTCACCTTCCATATGAGAAGTCAATAGATAGAAAGATAAACTACAAAAGGGCACCTGAAGCATTTAAAGTCATTGCTCCTGGGAACGGAAAGTGCTTTCCCTAACAGTCTATATAAACCTGTTCAACTTATTAAACTACATGTATGTTTAAACTTTTCCAAAATGAAAACTCAAACTAAACAAAACAGAAATAAAGTATCTATTGTGATCCAAGATCCTGTATACCCATCACAATACCCATCATGATTTAGTGTAACCACTTGTCTAATGTTTGTCTTCGATGAGATCAGGAACTGTGTCTGCCTTGTTTTTCCCATTCCCAATTACCTAGTATAGATACAGAAGCTCAATAAATATTTGTGTGATGAATAAATTTTTCTTTCACAACAGTGTATATGCTGACATGGGAAAGAGTGTAATGTTTTATAACGAAATACTAACAGTAGTTATCACTTGGTTGTGAGAATATGTATACTTAAATATTTTCCAATGTTTTATAAACATTCTTTGATATGTATTTCTTTAGTAATAAAACACTATCTTAAAATCTATTTTACAATGTTAGGATGAAGTACCAGTTTCAAAACTGAAACACCTCATGAGAAAATATAATCATTTCAAAATGACTTAAACATTTAATTCATAAGGAAATCTAAGTTACGTTTATTCTGACTCAACTAAAAGAGAGGAAAGATAGTGATGTAGAAAAAAGAGCAAAAAAGTATCTATACAAGTCACTCTCTTATTATTATTTTTTAAATATGCTTTTATTGATTTTTGGAGAGAGAGGAAGGGAGAGAGATAGAAACATCGATGAGAGAGACACACTGATTGGCTGCCCCCTGCCTGCCCCCCACTGGAGATAGAGCCTGCAACCTGGGCACATGTGCCCTGACTGGGAATCAAAGGGACGACCTCCTGGTCCATGGGTCGATGCTCAGGCACTGAGTCACACCGGCTGAGTACAAGTCACTCTCTTAATGTTAAACGTAAAAGCAAAAGTGCACTTTGGTGAAAATGACTGATTGTTTCTTAGTGATTCGTTGAGTTTCTGCTACTTCACTTCAAAACAATATTCAGAAACAAATTTAAGAACAACTTTACTGAACACTTGTAATGTGGAGCTTAGCTTTGCAAATATCTCACCCCAAACAGAATGAGAATGATTCTATTTACCTGTTTTTTAAGAAACAGTTTTAACTATGGGAGCTTGTAGATGAAAATAGTTCAAAACAAAATGTCATTGCTTTTGAATCTCTTCTCATCTGTGCCTCAGGTTATACAAGTCTGAAACTCTCAGCATCATTTCTAAGGCCTTGGCTTTCATAGGATATTAGCCTTAACGAAGCCATTTACCTGCAAAAAGTCTGTCTTCTAATTGCTACTGCTTCTGCAAATACAGTAACACCTTGATATAATGGGCTGATTCAGGTGAGGGGGTGTCCGTTAAAGCGGAAAGTCCATTACACAACAAAATAGGTTTTCCAAATGCTTATGTTAAAAAATTGACAAATTAGTTTACCTGTTTTTACTTATGTAGACACATTTATGTAATTAAAATTCGACAAACATTGTTTACCAGGGGTGACTCTCGGATTTAAATATGTAGACTATAGCTGTAGATGTGTAATATTTATTTATGTCCGCAAAATTACTACAGTGTTTTTTCCAACATAGGGCCTATTCGCTAAAATTTGTTAAAAACAACAGTGAATTAATAACAAAAAATAATCTGTTATTTTTATTAAAAGTAAATCTTGGTTAAAAGCATTTTAAAATGTACAGGGTGGCCCTGACCAGTTTGGCTCAGTGGTAGAGCGTCGGCCCAGGACCAACGAGTCAGTGGTTTGATTCTGGTCAAGGACATGTACCTCAGTTGCGGTTCCTCTTGCCCGGCCCTGGTCAGGGTCATGCGGGAGGCAACCAATCAATGTGGCTCTCTCACGTCGATGTTTCTCTCTCTCTCTCTCTCTCTTCTACTCTATCTGAAGATAAAAATGGAAAAAAAGTATCCTTGGGTGAGGATTTAAGAATAAATTAATTGCCCTGGCCGATTTGGCTCAGCGGTTAAAGCGTCGGCCTGCGGTACAGAGAGACCCGGGTTCGGTTCCCGCTAAGGGCACGTACCTCGGTTGCAGTTTGTCCCCGGCCCTGGTTGGTCGTGCGGGTGGCAGCCACTCGATGTGTCCCTTCACGTCGATGTTTCTCTCTCTCTCTTCCTCTCTCTCCCTCCCGCTCTATCTGAACAAAAAATGGAAAAATGTCCTCGGTTGATGATAAAAAAAAAAAAAAAAAAGAATAAATTAATTAAATTAAATTAACAGGGTATTAATTTTCACATATGACATACAGACCAGAAATTTTATGTTAAATCCGAAGTCCTTTACATCAAGGGTTTACGGTACATGTGTGTGCCTCGCATCTACCGCAGGCACTTTTCTGCCTTCTTTGAAGACCTTGGAAAGCTCAACACTGTGCGCTATGCGTCGTGTTGTCTGAAGAAGCACTGGAAATACTAGTGGTACCCATGCACAGCAAAGCACAGATAAGAAGTTACCTGTGGGTTTCTTCAAGCTGTTTCGTGGCCGAGAGGGCGTGGGAGGCAGAGTCTTCACAGGGTCTCTTGGACCTTCTTGGCAGTCTGCCCCTCTAAAGCCAGGGCAGCACCTCCATTCCAGCTGTGTCACCATCTTGTATCTGGTGACATATCTGGGCCTGAAGTTCACACGATACCTGCAGAAGAAAAGAGTGGGATCTCTCTTTACTGGCTGCTGTTACAAGCACTCTGGCCCTTCCAGAGTTGGACTCGAATGAAGAGGATCCAGGTCACTCAGGGCCCTGCCTGCTTTCTCCAGGTTTCTTCAATCCAGCAGTGACCTCCTGGGGTTCAGCCCAAATCCCACTGGCCTCCTCCCTCCATCTAGATTCCACACACACACACCCCGGCCCAGCACCCAGCTCTCCTCCCACTAAAGGCTGGGGAAACAGACAACTTAGAAAAACTTGGCCCCACAATTACTGTTGGATGTGGCCATCTTCACAAACTGAGATTTTGTTTCACCTACAAACTTCTGTTCCAGAGTTTGCTGCTTTGTGCACAATTTTTCGGTGTAACTCATAGTCGTTTGTTTTGTTTTAAAGAAGACACACTTGTTTTCCACAGTATCCAGGTTACTTATCTCAGCAACTTCTCTCCCTAATGCGAACAGAGATGGCAGGCCGCAAGCCTTTGGAGAGGGCATCGCATGCTATTGGTGTTCAGATTTTTTAAAAAGATGCCTTCATTCATTCATATAGCTAATGAGAGAAATAAGGAAGCAGGTGGAACCTTTAAAAGTGCACGTCCCCGCTGCACCTGCACATCACACCTTGTGACGAGCTGTCAAGTCTGCACGCCGGGCCTGGGCCCCGACAGTGGCCACTGGACTCAGCAGCCGCTGGACTCAGAGGGACAGCTGTGGGACTGCAGCACCCTTACCCCCAGCTCCCAGCTCAGATGCAAGCCAGCTCCTTAATGTACCCCAACTTATATTTCTGGCTTGGGACCATGACTCTTGAACCTCGTCCTTTCCTCTTCATTCCGAACACCAGCACCGGCAGCTGGTCATCTTTTTAGGGCCAATTGCCAGAAAGGAAGAATCTTTTCATCACTTCCCCAGGGTTGCTGTGCGCTGCTCAGGGGTGGGGCTCAGGTCAACCAGCTGCCAGGTGCCCTACAGCCCTTGCGCAACCAAGAGACTCCCCCTCAGGCACCAGCCTTGTGGCAGGTGTGGAGCTATGTTCCTGAGAGAATTATAGACTACTACGTAAAATGGACTTCAGCATCTTCCAGGAGGGCCCAAACCCTGTCACCTAAAACCTCAAATGTAAGGGTCTACTCCACCAGGCCAGGCCAGACGCCCTCTCAGAGTCCCCGAGGCCTTGCTGACAGGGCTGCCCCCACACGGGATCCCAGCACCTTGCACTCTCCCTGTTGCACTTGGTGCTCAGAGCTGTGGCTCTCTCCTTGGCCATAAGAACTACCAGGAAACTGGAAAAACTACTGATGCCTGAGGTCTCACCTTCAGAGGTTCTGTGGAGGGGCCTGGTGTGTGAATGTTGAGGTCTGGAGGGAGCCTTTTTCAATGACAACCAAAGAGAATGCCCAAAGAACAGGAAGGAAGGAGTGAGGGGTGAGGAAGGGGAAGACCTCCCTGCCTGGCTCTTCGTTCTCTCATTCCCAACACATCCCCGTCACGTGCCCACACTTCAGATTTTCCTCTTTTCACAATGAGAACACAGAGGCTCGCAGAGGCAAAGTGACTTGTCCAAGTTCCAATGGTCAGCAAGGGCTGGGACTTCGGCCCGCGCTCCGCTCCGCGCCCCACGCGGCCCCAGCCCGCAGAGGCAGTGAGTCTCTCCGGCACTTCCCCAAATTCCAAATAGCCGCACCCTCCCTGGCGGTCCCAAGGGACACGGTCCCCCCTCAGCAACTTCGCCTGGTGTCTAACTCAGTCTGGGTACACACGGGCCATGGCCCTACCACCCACCTACCGATAGAATCCTCTGTGTGGTCCTAGAAACTATATAAAAAGAAAAACTCCACTTCATTGTTTTGCACGCTCAAGTACAGCATAATGCTAGAAAAATGTGTAATCTCAGGAAAACTTGGTTCCTCTGAGCATTTAAGATTGAATGTGAAAATGTGTTTGCTCTTGGGTTTTGTTCATGTGCCAGGAGCTGACAGCCTCTGTTAAACACTTTTGGATGCGGCTGAGCTTGCACAGGACGGCAAAACAGGAGGCTCAGGCGCCTTGAGAAGAGATAGGACCTCACCCCCCCGGGGGCCTTGACCCCTCACTGCTGAGCTGGTGTGAGGAAGTTTTGGCTTTTCCAACACCCTTCATTCTTTTCTGTGAAGGCAGTGTTATTTTGGAGCCAGCTCATAACTTAGGAAAGCTCCCTGGAGTTCCCACCTTCCCCTCCACCCTCCTGAACCCCCCTCCCTGGCTCTCCACACACACGGTTTCCGGTTCAGGAGCTCGTCCAGGTTGACAGCATCTCTAGCGGTTTTCAGGTCCAGCCGTGGCAGGGGCTTCCCGGCCCCCGGAAATGACCAGGCAGCTACCTCTGACCATGAGAGAGCTCCCCATTTCCCTGCGCAGCTGCTGGATCCCAGGTGCGGCCTGGGGTCCTCAGACCTCAGCGTGGGGTGTGAGGGGAAGAGGGAGCGGTTGTCCAGCCCCACAGCCTTGCTGGGATTTTCCTCACAGAAATGGGGTTCCCGTTTCCACAGTAGCCAGCTGGGAGGTCCACAGAGGATGGGGAAGAACCCGATAGGGTTCCCAGGCCCCGCGCCCCGACCAGCCAGAGCCCTGTAGGACAACATCCTGGCCAGGGAGCTACACAAAAAATCCAAGACTTTACCCTTCAAAATTCTGATTTCAATTGGCTTGGGGGAAGGGGGCACCCAGATCTCTGTACCTTTCAAAAACTCTGTAAGTACCTGTCAAGCGCAGCCAGAGCTGAGGAGCAGCCCCAGACCCTGGGAACCCACCCACCCTCTGAGGCAGCCAGGGTTGGACAACCAGCAGGGAAGTGAACAGAGCAAAAGAGCCCAAGTGGTACCAGGGTTCCCTGGGCTGTGAGCACACAGAGATGCTCAGTTAATACTTACTGAGTCAGCTAACTCACTGCACCCAGCTGGGGGCCACCAAACCCAAGGACTGACAGCCACAGGGACAATCAGGAGGCGCTGGGAGAGCTGGACGCGCGGACGGCGGACGCAGGCTGCAGGCTTGGCCCCATCCCAGTCTCAGGTACCTTGGGAAGCTCAGGGGCAACTGGGGACTCGGGACTGTAGCAATGAGCTGCGGCCTGCGCCTGCCTCAGTCATGCCCACGCGCCCCAACTCTCCTTTCTCTCTGAAACTCCTTCGGGGTGAAACAAGGGTTCACTGTTTTTACAAGTTCAGCCTCTGTGTTAAAGGCACCAGATCAGCCAGAGGAAATTGTAATGAGAAGGAGGGTAGCAAGGAATGAACTGAAAAAGTTGAATCAGAGTTCAGGGACCACATGGACGTGTCCCTGTTAAAACAGAATGTGACAAAATGACTATGCCCTCATTTGACCTCAGCACCACAAAGACTTCTTCCTACTGACTTGAGGTGAGACCTCTTCCCAAACATGCTTCAAGTCACACTTGCATTTGCTCTTTCAATGTCTATCTTTCCTGCAGACTGTAAGCCCCATTAGGGCAAGAATACCTGTGGGTTTTGTTCTCTACAAAATCCCCACTAAAAACAGAGTGTCTATCCTACAGTAGGTGCTCAGTGAATAATTATTAATCAATTAGTAATTGATTAACCAATCAAAAATTAATATTAGTAGGTCTACTTTTAAAATATATTTTTTCTTTATTGATTTTAGAGAGAGAAGAAGGGAGAGGGAGAGAGAGATGGAAATATCGATGAGAGAGAACATTGATTGGCTGCCTCCTGCATGCCCCCCACTGGGGATCAGGCCCACAACCTGGGCATGTGCCCTGACCAGGAATTGAAACAGCAATCTCGCCCTGGCCAGTTTGGCTCAGCAGTTGGAGCGTCGGCCTGTGGTACAGAGAGACCCGGGTTTGGTTCCCGCTAAGGGCACGTACTTCGGTTGCAGTTTGTCCCCGGCCCTGGTTGGTCGTGCGGGTGGCAGCCACTCGATGTGTCTCTTCACATCGATGTTTCTCTCTCTCTCTCTTCCTCTCTCTCCCTCCCGCTCTATCTGAACAAAAAATGGAAAAATGTCCTCGGGTAAGGATAAAAAAAAAAAAAAAAGAAACAGCAATCTCTTGGTGTATGGGTCCACACTCAACCACAGAGCCACACTGGCCAGGCAGTAGATCTACTTTTGACAAGGTTTGGGGGAGTTTAATGTCCTAATTAAAAATTTCATAATTATCCTCTGGTCTAACCCCAAGTAGACGTGAATTCAAGTCTTCCCAAAGTCAAACCCAGTTTCAGGGTCTCACATCATGATGAACTGGGTAAGAGTCACACAGGAGATCATCTAGAGTTGTGCTGTCCAATAAGTAACCATGTGTGGCTATTTACAGTTAAGCTAATTAAAATTAAACATTTAGTTCCTCCGTCACACTAGCCACATTTCAAGTGGTCAATCACCGCATGTGGTTAGTACATATCCATCATCTCAGAACGTTCCGTTGGACAGGACTATCCTGGAGTCACAAGACTGTCAAAGGAAGGCCAGTGGCACAGTTTATCTGTTCATCTCTGGGTTTCTATCTCACAGTCAACGCTGTCTTTCTCCTCCCACATCCTGGAATTGCTGGTAGAACATTTCTCTGAAAAATAACCACACATCACTGGCGGAGGATCATCTAGGCAGCTGTTCCACAAGGTAAGAATCTTTGCCCTGCACTTAGTATTTATCTAAATTTTATTTTAACACAAGCCACTAAAACTGCACAAATCAAAAGTGCCCTATTGGGGATACTCATTTGACCAGGATTTCTCTCAAGAACAGACTTTCTGGTAAACTCTTCTTCTTCCAGTCACTGGCTGGCCCCGAAAATCTGGAGCCAACTCGTCTGGTTTCATTCTGCATGTGTGGTTCTGCACAGTAGGCACTGGGACAGGGCTGAGAGGGTGGACAGGAAGCCTGAAAGAAGAGGTGCTTCCCTCTCTGGGCCTGGAGAACTAGTCACCTCCCTGGGACAAGGAAAATTAGCATATAAAGGTGGGCAGT